TAGAGATTTCTGAGACAAATGTGCAAAGAAACCATCTCATGTTCAAATGTTCAACATGAGAGATTATTTTTCCCAATGACTTGAGCAGCTCATTGTGAACTAAATGTACAATAACATAAAAACCCAAAGGAAGTCCATAAAAATAGTAAAAAAAAAAAAAAAAAAAAAAAAACAAGCACCACAAGTTTTGTGGTAGCGAGCTATTACTGAATAAATAGCAGAGTAACCAGGAAGATTGTTCAAAATAGGATTCTCTGAGCCTTTGTGTTATGCCCACAATGGTATTTTTCCAACAGAAGTGGATTTAGTTTATTTTGATACTGCAGCATACCATCAAAATACCAGAGATAGTAATCAGTCGCTTGCAGTTATTTTGAACACCTGCTTAAGAAGTTTGATCCTGGAATAGTCGAGCGTAGAGCCAAATAAGATTAAAAAAAAAAAAAAGTCTCACACTGGTCTAATATAGCGTTTTTATGCACAATCCCCGCAGTAAAGCAAGTGAGTCATTCAATCCATGGGAATTTGGCTGTTGCAGTGCCTCTCGCCAAACCACCCTGCACCATTATCCTCAGCTCAATGAAAATGCATGAATGCAAATGCTACTTCCAGCATGGAAATACCAGACGTTATAGTAGCCATTTAACTCTGTGGTCTTAAACACGAGTTAACAATTGCTGAAAAGGTAGAAACAAAGTTTAACATCATGTTACAAGATGAGAACATTGTCAAAGCACAACATCATTGTTAATTTCTTCCAGTTATCAACAGCATGGCATTGTTGACTCTATCATCTGATCATTGGTTTAGCTGAAAGGTCTGAACTGATAGCTGATATGCAGTAGCCAAGAATTACGGGTCTTCTGTTCCACATTGAGTTCACTCCATTTTGCATGCAGTTCCTGTTTATCAGACTGACAGGATGGACAACATGGGCTAAACTTTAGCACTGGTCTGGAAAAAAAAGTTCCTGGACTCATTGTTGATTATTTCCATTTCACCGTCTAAACCTTACCATCACTCACCCCAACCTTTATTAGCCACACCTGAGACAGACAGACAAAAAGTTACCATCCTTCTTCTCAGACCAGACCACTTTCTTTCACGTGGTGCGTTCCACATGGCTCATGGAAAACTAAAAGTTAATCGTCTCAGGATTTATAGTTTTGCCTTTGCCACTCCCCTGCAAAGGCCAGATTTGGGAAGTTTACCACTCAGCAGTCCTGTCGACAGATTTCTGCTCCCTGAATTGTGGATCGCTGCACCTCTTCCAGGTCTACCATGGACTTCTTCTTCTCTGCTTTGTTGATTAACACTCCTCTTGGTCAGCCTGTCAGATTAGGTGGATATTGTTTTCAACATATTGACTTATTTGACCTCTCTGCCATTTTTCATGGCCTCAGTGATTCTTTTCACTCACGTACGTTCCAAAAACAAACCTCTTTGCTCAAAAAGAAGATTTTGAGTTGGGGAAATTTTTTTTTTTTTGCGCAAGCACGCACAAAACCTGTGTTTTGTGTTTGTTGTATTATAATTCTTTTAAATTTTCATGTTATTGAGTTTTTGAACATGATTAGAGGACTAAATTATACAGACTCGTCAGTCAGTCTGCTGACGACGCACACCTCTGCTTTCTGTGTCGATTGTGGTTTTAGTTTTGCATTCATCACAGATGTACGTTGCGCTGACAAGCATGCTGAAAGCACACCTGCAGGGATAAACAGTCCATCCTGTTCTCTTCAGGACAAACATCGTGTCGGAAGGAATGAAGGTATGAGCTGACTCAGAACACCACCATGTTACTGACTGCCTTGTCCAAAGGCTTTTTTAACGTAGGGAATTTGTTTACAATTTCTTCATTCTGTCTCCTTACAATAAATTACAAACAACAAAGGTAATTCCCAGTCCATTCCTGTCAGATGTGCAGTCAGAAGGGAAAGGGTTATTAGGTGCATGCCATCAATACTGCCCCTGCGCCCGTTGAATGAGCCTCTGAAATATCAGTTGAGATTGTAATTAAGTGTCAAAACATTAAGACGTTACAGAAAATGCATTTATCTACTTGTCACCTGCGAGATGCTTATCTCGTCTCCCCTAATTATGAAAATTACTGCAAATGACTCAACATACCAATCTGGTTGGCTCCACCCGATGTCGGCTGCTCAGTGAGCTAAATATTTCTGGTTTTGTTGTGACTTCATCTCTGCAGTCCCTTGTGGTTTTAAACGACAGCAAAAAACATGTTCTTTATTGCTTCAGGTGGGTTTCAAAACAAAACGACCGCAGTATTCTGGTTCAACGTAGGTGCACTGCTATCCTCTTAGGAGAAAGCGATGATGCTATCACATATTTTATTCCTCTTTGTATGCTGCCCCCCAATGGTGGCCTTTGGTATTTGTTCAGCTATTTCCGTTTCTGTCATATTTTTGTTGTTCATTTGTTTCAAAACCAGTGGACTAAGTGTGTATCTAATGTCAGAATCTTATTCCAGGTCAAAAATACATGAACTTAAAAAAAAAAAAAAAAAAAAAAAAAACAGTCGCTATGTAAGATAAGGAGTTAAAACACAAGACAATGTGTTCACTGCTGTAAACAGATTGTATCACAGTGTTCTTCTGTACACGTTTATCCAATTTCTTCAATAATAAATTTGGAGCGAATGTTGGATCTGTCATGTTGATTACAAACTGCTTCTTTTCTCAAAGGCTTCTACATTATCTAAAATAGTTTATAACTTTAAAATGAAAAAAAAAAAAAATCCTAAGCTAACCCCAACCTTTGGTTTTGATATTATCAGCTTTCTGTTGCACAACCGTAATTAACTCCTGCCCGTTATTAAAGATTAAATGTGTATGATAAGACTTGTCTTGCTGTAAGGCAAATGAAAATATGAGGTTTCTCTTGACACTAATTAAGAGACCGACATGTCCTGTGAAAACATTGTTTATTTTTCACACCTGGGCATGTTTACAGCTGTAAGTTTGATAAGCGCCTCCCCTCCTGTGACTGGCTGCGATCCAACGAAGCAAATGTGAACAAATGATTTTTCTTTGCAACTTTTATGACTTGTACAATATTGTGTTTTACGTGGTTTCCATCTGTTACTCGACAAATTAACTCTATTAGTTTCCCTGCTCAGGGGAAATGATGGAGATTTTAGTGAGTGAATTACGCTCTTAATGAAATCACGCAACAATTTATTGTCTAACTCATCTTAAGGGATCTGTCGTTTTTTTTTTTTTTTTTTTTGGAAACGAGATGCGTATGAGTTGAAAGGTGTCACTGCACGAACCCAAAGCTTATTTTGGAATTATAAGAGTAAAACAAACTGGAACCAAACATGTTATTGTTGTACAGTTATACTGAAGCAGACACATTTCCTGGCACATGGCTTTCATCATTTACCCCCACTAATAGTGACTCAGCGAAAGGCCCCGGATTGTAACTTAGACATGTCAACTATGTGTGGATCCAACTTTCTGGGAACGCGAATGGTTGCTGTGACAAACTGTGATTTAGATAAAAGATAAATGTACCAATGAAATTACATCTACAACCTCTTAGTGAAGTCACAACTTTTGATCTGAGGTCAAATGCTAAGTGGTGGACAAAGCACATTTCCTGAGTAATCGTTAATTTTCACGATCGTTTTGACGTAATGACTGGACGAAGCGTCGGCTGGGAATCATTTGGCAATGTTTTGGCCGCTGCTGCTCTCCCACATGGTGGACAGGCTCAGCAACTGCTGCGTTAAACTTCACCTGCCGTGGGTAACGTCCTCGCCCTCGCCTGAAAAGGGAAAGTTGCGAGGAAAACAGTTCTGAGGATTTAAGAGCGCTGCTCAAAACCTCTCAAAGGCCGCTCGGTGGGGAAGGTGCTCTTTAAAAGCAGATTATTTCTTCAAAAAAGCGCACGTGGTTATTAAAGCTGCAACGGCAGTCAGTAAATGCTTGTACTTTCCCCCCCTGTCAATTACGCCGAACGTAGCGACACAACAACAACAAGCTGCTCACGCCAGATGATTCCCAACATGCAACTGAGGAGGGGAGGGAATAATTCTGTTATGATGACATGTTCAGTGGTAATTGTACAGTGCTCCCTTCAAACGCACGATCTAAACAGCAGGATGTGTTCAAGCTGTGATAATGACTGAGCTCTGGACCTCTCGCTGAGAGGGGAGAGAGGGGAAATAATTGCAGACTAATATGCCATAAGGAAAGTGGTGCTCATAAATGTATTATTTGCCCTTTAGACTGTTTGGAGCTGTGATTCATTGGTCCGCATTCTTCTGATTGCATGTGAATATTTGTGTGTAAATTCTTTGTGTATTTTGAGCTTACTTTTGTGCTCTGGAACGTAGTGGAAAACCTTCCTCGGAGGAGGAGGAGAGAGGGGAGGGTGGCGGGGAGCTAAGTTTTAGACCTGCCTCCAGCTTTCTGCTGGTTAATTTCCACTGGAATTCCACCTAGCCTCACCTATTGAATGCAGTGTAAACATGTTTCAGCAACATCCAGAGCCGCAGATTATAAATCAGTCTCTCCGCTGACTCACTGGCGACAAAAGCATTTCAAAGTGCGTTTAGGCGGGGTTAGCACAACACACCGTGAGGTTTACACAGACACTTTATGAATCAAGAGGCAATGTGATGCAACAATGCAGCATGTTGCGTTTAAGAGCTCTTTGAAGTTGAGGGTGTTACATACCTGCAGCGCGAGTTCACTGAGAGCGAGGCTTACAGTGCTCCTCGTGCGCTTCGAGCGTCACGTCAATTATGCTTTGAAACTTGTGAAAAGGTAAAGCAAATCGCAAGTGGAATCTTAAAAATTCACAATTCATTCAGACTTGACTTCAGACTTGTGCCCTAAAGACTTAAACTTGACTGTATTTCATGTGAGGATGAGTGAAATGAAGCTGGTATGTGAGCTTCAGACTGCAGCTGCTGCGCATGAATTCCTCTGAAAGGAAGATCTTGATTACTTGCCAGTAATGTTTGGATTATCCGCTGTTAATCGTTGATACCAATCTGCTTATGTTAGCGATAGCGTCACGATCAACGACCACGTGGATGTCTCTCGAAATGAACGCTCTACAACTTTGGTTTGTTTCAGAACAAAATGAACGCAAGTTCCCTCCAACATTCTTCTAAGCTAGATGTGACATTACAAGGACACATTCTATATTTAATGATTCAAGTGGTACGATTTCATTTTTTTTATATAACGCCACAATTGTTTGGATAACGTTTTCTCAAAATTAAAGCATAATTTAAAAAGTATGTTTGTTTACTTCTGGTGTAAACTGAATGAAACAGTTTTTTTTTTTTTGTTTGTTTTTTTGATGTGTTAAAGATCCATCAGATGAAAGCTCACCTTCCATGTAAGAAGGGTGGTAATGTAAAACTAAGAAGCAAAATTCATTCCTAGCAAACTTCTATGCCAATATACAACCGATTTAATCAAAGTTGAGCTAGTGATGTCAAATTAAAACAGGGTGAAAATCCAACAAACAGCTACTTCCATCGTTAAACATGAGCTTTTATGGTAGCGCTAACTGAACTCTAGGGCCATATACAATGTCGAATGGGATCTGGCATAAGCTCACTTATTACAGGTACACTTTGGGTGAGAAATCAATTTGTATTTATCTCACCTGCACAGGATACTAATTAACCCAAGGTCAGAGCCTGAGGTCACAGGTCAGCGTTCGCGCGGACACTGCGCACCGTGATAAGTACTCGGGTCTGTGTTTGTGTTTGTGCTTACGGGAACGCTTGTGTGGCCATCAGCCGGGTGGATGGGATAGTTGTGACTGGCCCACAATGAAAGGTACACACAGATTAGGCCGTGTGTGTGTGTGTGTGTGTGTGTGTGTGTGCAAGGACAGCGTCTTTAGCCAAGAGTTTTCAAACACACCTGGAAGATGGTCCTGCGAGAGATAAAAGCTCTAAAAACTTCTGCGGTAAATACCATTAGTCAAAGGCGTGACATTTGGGACTGGACGGCCTTTCAGCTTATATTCTCAGTCCTGTGGCAGAGTGGGGCGAAGTCATGAAAGCAGTTCTAGATTTCTTTCTTGTCCTTTAACTATGACCTGATAACAGTTAACAGTTATCTTACCAGTTAAAGATCAATAATTGTCGAGTGACAGCAAAATTCAGTGTCTGAGAGTGATACAGTTCACACATTCAGAAGCAAGTTATTCATGTCTACCATTTAAATATTAGTCGTTTTCTGTACCATAAAGTACAGAAGGTGGAAACACCTGTCATTTATAAATGATTTTGAATGAGTCATTATCTCTAGAAATATCAGGTTTATTTTATTATTAACAATCGGTTTTGC